GTGTGAGAGAGAGAGAGAGAGAGAGAGAGAGAGAGAGAGAGAGAGAGAGAGAGAGAGATTCCACTTCATGGCAGAGGCTGATGGATGTCGGGGGAAACTCTGATGCTCCGTCTGGGCGGCTGACATGTTTTGTCTACATTTTAAACCGACCAAWCTGGCAGCAGTGCAACTGTGGCTCTTACACTGGAGGGTTTTATATGCGGTGTGTTACTCCTAGAAGGTGCAAGGTTGTTGTTTTTTTAACAGCTGCTGTCCAGAAACTGCTTACATTTGTTCAGTTCTGCGACTTTAAAGCAAGAAGTCACTTATTTGCTCCTAACCCAGGATGGGTTTTGGTGTTTGTGTCTGCAGGTACTTTGGTTTCCTCCTGCAGACCAAAAACTTGCATGTAGGTAAATTAGTGATTCTAAATTGGACTGGTGTGTGTGTCCATGCAGTGTGCACCTTTTGCTTGTTGACTGATGGAAGGACGCACAAACTGTTCCACAATCATACCAGGATCAAAACGAAAACTGGATAAAAGGATCATATGTGGAAATCTATGAGAGCAAAATAATGACTTTAAAAACAGCTGTAAATTAAAAATAACAATGAATGAGTCTATATATTAGGTGATGAATGAGTTGCTCTAAAATTAAGATAACCTGTGTAGAATTTTGACTGAAACTTTATAAAAATTTGCTGTTTTACAAAACGTTTTATTTATATGACATTGATTTTGCATTAAATGATAAATGAACCCCTTACTACACTCACAAACACATCCTCCAGGAAACACAAAGTGCAAGCTCAGTTTTTTTTATGCATGTTGTTTGCAGATCTACCACCAGGGGGCGCGTCAGCTTTCTGCCCCATCTTTCACCAACTTCAAAAGCACTTTAAAATCATTAGAATAAAGACATCCCAGTGACTAAAAGTAATCAACAGTATTGTTACATGAGAAATGATGGTTAAAAATCTTTAAAAGGAGAACTAAATAAAAGTGTAAATTTATCTGATGTTCTGCAGCCAATAAAATCAAAGCCATGTCTAACTTTACSAGWGAAAGAAAATGCAGACTGATCAGCWGATTTACCTACAATAAAAATGCTTAAAGATATAAAAATCTATATGTTTGCTTTTACTTGAGCATCTATAACATATTATATGACCTCTACAGTTAATCAACATTAGCAACACAAAAACAWTATYTTTTAGTCAATTTTACAGATTTTTTTTTTGGTGTGGTAGTAGCTGAGAGTCATCCACATATTCAGTGAGCACTAACACATCTCGTAAGATTTTGTCATTATGTGTGACCAAAGCTGCGGTAACTTTGTCCCTTTTCAGATGATTTCTGTTTAAAACTGAAACATGGCAGGATATGTACTTAAAGCATGGTTAAATCTGAGCACGTTTGTGAATTAAAAAAAACATTTGGATAAAAGGTATCTTAATCCCCTCACCTGTGRCATTCTTTTGAAAAGCTGCATCAGAACGATGCTTCCTTTTACTATTTATAGCCGAGCCCAAAGGGTGAGTCTTTTTTCTTTTTTTTTAGATATCTCCCATAAATATTTATTATTTGAAACCACTTCAGACGCTCCAAGGAATAAAAGAAAGCAAAGTTCACATMTAACATTTTTCTCATATTTTGAACCATCTATCTGAGACAAGTGAAGTGTTACTGACCGAAATAAAATAGTCATAGAAATATTTCAAATGAAGGTACTTGGTATTAAATGTGTGCTTTTTCCTGCATAAATGCATTCATGTTTGGGCTTATTATTGTGTAGTGATTGCATTATAATTGCTAAAACGTTACCGGTTAGTTTCTGAAAGCTCATTATGCACATTTTAGGAAAACTGTWATTTTTGTCGTCTAAATGTGCAGAAAGGTTTGAAAGAAGCCATTCAGCTGCTGTTTGTTCATGATTTAAGGCTGTGCAGAGTGCACTACCTGATAAGYACTGGAGACAGCATCATTAGTAAGGAAAGGAAAAACAGCCTGTAGATAAAGTGTAAGTGAAGAAGCTGTTTTTTAAAAAATAAGACATTCGGTGCTTATTTGCTTCACCTAAACAACATGAAAATATATTTTTTTAAATCTTGTATTTTATTAAAAAATGAAGCAGTTTTTTTTACAGTGTATTACTTTCACAAAACATACATTTTACACATAAAGTATCAAAATACAAAATTAGAAGCATCACAGTTTAAAATAAACATGAAAATAAGTCACGATGGAGTCGTATCTAAAGAAACACGACCTTTGTCATCCTTTGGCATCAACAAACATCTTCAGTTCCATGAAGGACTTGTTCAGGTGAGAACATCGGCTGGACGGCTATGCCTGCAAAAACTTTATGGGTTTGTTTTTATTTCGTCTCAACCGGTGAATTTTCCCCTGAGGTTTCTGCTTTTTGCTTCCTGGAACGACAACATTTAAAAAAAAAACAGAAACTGGTGAGTTTCGCTTCGGTGACATTTGGAGATGAAACAAAGAGAAGATAAGTTTTGTCTGGTGTCCTCTGGGTTAGCGATAACAAACCAGATGTAGGGTTTAGTGTGGAGGTCAGGCAGATAAGTTTGTTCTGACGCTAAGCAGTTTTTCTTCTTTTCAAACGTCTGAAACTGGAGTTGTTACCTCTCAGCTCCTCTCTGATTCCATTCGAACCGGTGTTGTACAAAATTCAGTTCCTGTGAAAATCTGTTCCCCGTGTTGGAAGCGCCTCCCTCATATTAACCATTTAGGATTGGTCTGACCTTATGCCTGGATTCTCTCTAAGGTTAACCACTAGAGGGAACAGATTTTCACAGGGGAACTGAATTTCGCACAACACCGGATCTAAGAATTCCACTGTGCTCACCTTTAACGCACACGTCCATGCAGCTTTGAAACGACACAAAGTTGTTGCTGCTCCCSCCGCAGCCCGTGTACGTGAACTCCTCGCACGTCTTGGTGGCCGCGTTGTAGTAAAAGCGAGCGATCGAAGCCGAGCACTTCCCTTTGTCCAGAGGGTCCAAACAGAGAARGGGAACACCTGCAAACAAATTCAAAAGAAAAAAAAAATTAATAAAACGGCGTTCAGTTTCATTGACTTACATCTTAGAAGGGAGCGTGTTTCTTTCAGTTTTGCACTAACTTTTCTGCGGACTGCAGTACTCCGAGCAAGAGGCGAGGTCTTGGAAGCGGTTGGAGTTCCCCCCGCAGCCCCCATAAGAGAAGGGCTCACACTGCATGGTGGTCATGTTGAAGAAGAAACGGGGTAAAAGGGCACGGCAGTGACCTTCCTCTTTTGGAAACCTGCAGATTTGAGGGATTTCTGCGAAGAAGACAGAATAAAAACATTTGATTTTAACAGAAATGTTTGGCTATATTGAAGTTAGTGTCTGAAAAAAATGTACATATTGCACATGGACTGACAGGACTGGTTTGACTAGTTTCACCAGTGCATTGCTGCTCTGTTTTATAAGCTTTTATACCTCTGACAGTTTTGCATCACATGGTTATTCCAATGACATTTTATGGTTATTACTGCAAAGGTTTGAAAACTTTAATTTCTTCCTCCTGAAATAAGATTGTCAAAAATTGTGACCAGAAATAATCTTGATTTAACCATAAACATTGCTTAAAATCAATCAATAGGGATATAATGAGCTTTAATAAACTATTATTATAACATTTTAGTTGCTCAAAGGAATGTTTTAAAGTTTGTTTGGTAGATCACCTTCACCCCATTGGTGTTTTGTCTTGAACCAACCACTGATATGCTGGATTAAACATTTTTAGCTTGTCAGCAGCACATAATACAAACTCTAAGATTTAAACTTTTACACGTCTATCATGTCAGACATGACGCTACAAGTTACACATCGCTGCTATTTAAACGTGAGTGAGCACACCTGAATGTAAATAAATGTGTGAAAATATCAGCAGTGTAGATTTTATTGAGAGCTTATAAGATTTATAAAATTCACATAACTTGTGACGAAGTTTTAGCGTTCGGAGCCGTTTGGAGACTTTGGCCTTGTCTGCGTTTGGACTAGCCATTAGCTCGTCAGTCCTGTTGGATTAATGTGTTTCTCCAAACTGAATTAAGACAGCTTCTAAATCAGAGGAGCCCAAAGTGGGGCCTGCGGGCCAGATTTGGCCCGCCAAGCCATTTGATTCGGCCCACCAACAGTTGCCAAAGTTACAAGGWTGTAACCTGTTATCCTATAGGTAGAAACACAGTATTTCCCTTGGTCACTGACTATATAAAAGGGCTGTAGTGAAGGTAGTTTTCAGTCATGGTGCTGACATATCTTTGATTTATTAGGATTAAACATGAAACATGAAACAACAAGAAATATTTAGATCATATTTAACCCCGKATGTAGATTTGCACACTTTATAAGGCCACAAAAACTCATATTTGATCAATTTATGATATGTCCCATGAGCCTTTGCTACTTGAGCGTATGGCAGATTTTCTCCAAGTGCACATACTAAAACAAAAGAGGGTCATTGCACAGCTTATTTGTTCAAAATAAATGACTTTACTTAAAAAAGTATTTGTATTTCATGTATTATATAACTGCATTTGGCCCGCAGCCATGGATAGATTTTCATTTTGGCCCCCTCAGGGAAAATGTTTGGGCACCCCTGGTCTAAGCCAGTGGTTCTAAACTTTCTCAGCTTCCAGCTCATATAATAACAACAAATATGTTTTAAAAAAATCATTTTTATGGCTCCTATTTGTATTTTCTGTAACAAATATGACAAAGTATATCATAAATAACATTGTTATTAATTGATATCTGGAGGTTCCAAGGACCATAAATTAATTAGCTTTAAAAAGTTACAATCCCTCATCCCATCAGGCTCTTACTTGGGATTCTGAAGCACGTCTTCTGGCACTCAGGGTAACTCTTGAAGTTGTTGGCYTTGCCCAGGCAGCCGCCGTAGGAGAAGACCTCGCACCGCTGGGTGATGGTGTTGTAATAAAAGCGCTCCACGTCCGCCCTGCAGGGGCCGTCGTCCACTTGGAGAAGGCATGCCTCTGCTTTGACGGGAAATCAAACAATCAAACACTGTCACTGAAAGTTTTGTCTAAAAACACAACTGGAAATGAGTTAGCCATTWAAAAAAAATAATACTTTATAAAGATCAAATGTGGCGGCAGCAGAGCGGCTTACCTTTGCGCGTGAGCGCCGCGCGGCTGGATGAGAGGACTGTAAACAGCGCTGAGAGGAGGAGGAAGTCCAGCTGCATTGTGTGACTTTTTTTCTGTGTTTTATCCGCTCTGTCCGCGCCGACAAAAACCTCAGGCACTTCCAGCTTTATAAAGAAGAAGAGTTTCCCAGGAGAGGGGGTGGGGTGAGGTGGGG